CTATAGGTAGAAATCTTTCTTGAGTTAACCTTTGGAGTGCTGATTGCTAACTACCTACTGTTTCACATTGATATTTCGATCTTATCCAAGCGTGTAAAATAGCTAGAGTATTAATATTAGCATTTCCATTATATGGATCTTGAGCAGGAACTGGTAAATATTTTCCTTCCATCTGAGCTTTATAAATACCACACTTGACAGCATCATCAAAATCTCTAGCATTTGCATTTTCAAGAATAGTCATATGTCCTTGTGCAAATGATATTGATTGAATAAGCCTATCTAAATAATCGTCAGGAGGTTCTTGGCCTGCATACAGCTTATTTTTAGCAAGAATAGGTGCAATCAAATTTAATATTGGTAAATGTCTAGCGTCAGCCATATTTGCAATTGGGTTATTCTGAAGCGTCAAAATTTGTCTCTGCAAATTAAAAATATTCTGGTCGCGAGCCTGAACTTGATTCTGCAAATTCTTATATTGTCCCTTCCAATTTTATGCCTGGCAAACACAACCTGCATGCCTTCTTCTTCAGCGTTCTGTAACATTATTATAGCATACTATTAATCTATATACATTTCTCCTATGCTCAGCAATTTAAGTATCCTTACACTGAATTAATAGCCAGAAGACAAAATTTTCACATAATAATTTGCCAATACGTTCTTGCCTATTTTGAGCTAATTGCCAATACTCTCTATATTCTTCTGTTTCATTATTTAAAACATTTGTATGTATCTGCATAATTCTTTTGCTTAAGCTTAGGATTCATTTAATAAACGTTATAATCGTAAATTCTGATTTCACTATCATTTAACTAATTCCTAAGATGATCTACTCGCTGAATTGAATTATGTAATAAGTTTTGATATTGATCACGCTCAGTTGTAATATTTTGCAAAATAACCCAAATAGTATTTAATGAGCCTTTAATACCATCTATAATATTAGTGAGATTCTGCATAGGTGTACCAGCTCCCTTAATGTGATTTTCAATTCGATCTAACCCTCTATTAACATTCACAATAAGATTAGTCATTGCCATATCTAAAGCATTTATTGGGATTTTTTTATCTATGAGAATCCAGATTCTCGCTTTAAGATTTTTAACCTTATTTTTGAGTTCTATGATTCAATCATCTTGAATGGAACCAACTTCATCTTTGAATTTTTTATCCTATTGTAAAATCCTAAGCTGTTTTTACAAATCAGATATTTCTGATTTAAATTTCTCTATCACTTTTTCATGGACTATAATAGTATTATCCTGTAATGAGATAGTTCGATAACATTGCTCAAGCTCCTTTACAAGAGAGCAAATTTTTTTCTCATTACTCTTATTAATAGAAATCTCATCTTGAAGCTCATTACGAAGCTCTTGATTTGTATCTAAAAGCTGTAAATATGCTAGATCAAACATGATATTTCATTCTAATTTATAGTATCATCATAATAATTCTATCTTAAGAATAAGCTAACCGCAAATTATAATAGATCCTGATGAGATTCAGAGAATTAAAAAAAATATCATATTATGTAAAATATATTATCGCCTAACTGGTTATCATTCTAACCCTAAATCTTTGAGAGATACATGTAAAAAAGAGGGGCATCGATTCTGCCTAAATAAATACAAAGATTTTTTAGAAAATTAAGAGTCATACCAGACTAATAAAACCTCTCCAAAATACATCCTAGAGTCAGCTATAAGCAAATAACATGCCATAACTGTATACATCAGTGTGATATACTGTTTTTCACATATGATCGTTATAGGGGTAAAAATATAAAGCAGTGCTTAATATAATAGACTGTGCTTCCAGATATAAGACTTCAGTTCCGCTTAGATCAAAGAAAAGTTCTGAGGTTGCTAAAGCATTTAGGAAAATATATGGAAATCAAAATAATCTATTGATATAGCCAAAGCTTTTACAATGCGATGAAGATCGTAAGTTTATAGGCAAGATCTCTCGACTAATGCAAGAGCACAATGTTACAATTTGAGTGATTGGCCCATATAGTCATAGAGGACTTGCTTTTGTGAAGCGTTTCAACTAAACACTCTCAAAAATTCTATACAAAATCCAGTATGTTATTAAATCAATAACTTCTGATCCTACATTAATAAGAGCATGGGTTAGATATATACTAGTAGCTATTGATTACCTAAATAATTACCCACACGTCTTATTCGAGAACTAGGATCAAAAAAGTAAGAACTCAAGCCAGAGAAAGCTATTGCTTTAGAACGAGTTGAATCTAGACCATCCACAAAATATAAGTGTCTAGTTGAACAAGATGGGTTAAAGAAAGGAGATACCGTCTGCTATTTTCTTGCTAATGCAGAATAAAAAGGTGGTATAGAGAATCAGAGGCGCATAACTGATCCTATATGGTCACCAAGTCTTCATAAAATCTGAAAAGTTGTTCTTATAAAGAATGAACCAATTTTATATTATATACATTAAAGTGAGGATTTATGCGAGAAGAGCTCATGTTAATAGCTGATCCAGAAAGGGTTAGTTATTCACTTCAAAGCATATTATCTGTATATATTACATATGCTTTCTCTTTCAATAATGAGTTAGATCAAACTATTGATTATGCCAAGAAGCGAGGTGATCAATGCCTAGGAAGGACTAGGCGAGTAAATGGTCATAATGTTTATATTTGGTCCTGTGAAAACGTATGCATCAATGGGAGTATCCATTAAAATACATCATGGAAAAATTTGAATGGTACCCTCTATATCACTACATTACTGATGAACGCAAGTCTCGATATATTTTTGAAGATCTATTAGATAAGAAATTTCCACTATGTAGAGCTAAGTTCTTAGATAGGCTATACTTGAATGGATATAATGAGGAATTGTGTTTTGCATTTGAATTCCAGGGTTCTCAATACTATCATCACAATAGCTTCTACCACCAAGAGAATGAAAATCTAAAATCACAAAATATGCGCGATCAGAAAAAGCAGGATATATTCAAGAACCAAGGTATATGCCTTATCGAAGTGCCTTATACTGCGAATTTATATCTGTTTATTAGACATATATTAATCGAGAAAGGATTCTTAGATAAAGTGAAGGAATAAAAGGGAGGACTGATAAATCAGTCTGATATTTTTTAGTATATCATTATTAATAGTTAGCTTACCATGAAAATAAAGAAACTTGAGCCAGTTGATAGGCTAGTATACTATATTAATAAGATTAAAGATGCCAAAAGATTTAATGATTATCCTTCTGTTCCCTAATAACCTTTCACACTCCTGATCACAAGATGGACTAATTCAGGAAAAACTAATGAGGTTCTCAATCTCATGCTTAGAAATAAGCTTTATCAAATGTTTAATGGGAAGAAAGGAGGAACGCGCTATATCAAGTGTGATGATTTACTACTCATCGGCCATAATCTTAAGGAGAAAAATATATATATCTCAAATCAGCGTATCAGATAATTGCAAATAATCTAAAGCCCTATCATAAAAATATTACATTCCAAGCTTTGAAGTCTGATAAAATCCCTAAGGTGGATTCATTTTCTCTAGATAGAAGTACAGTAGCCATATTCGAAGATGTATGTGCTGATCTGAAAAAAATATAAGAGAAGATAATCCCTTATTTTGTTAAGGGGCGCCACTACAATATAAGTTCGATATATGTATCCCAGAGTTACTTTAATTGTCTAAAGATAATATGAAAAAATCTCATACATGTCTGTTTATTTAACAGATCGTGCACTGTAGATGAGCTGAGCTATATTATGCGTCAATATGCTAATGACTGACATAGTGTGATTAAGATTATTGATAAGACTTTATGTGAACATAAATTCATTGTTTTTGATTTAACTGTGTTTCGTGAATATCTGCATAGGATACGCATCAGCTAGGACTAAATTCTCACTAATGAGAATCTAACTTTATAGATGTCAGCTCTTATTTGCAGTAACCTGATCTCTATATTCCTTTTTTATATTATGCATAAATTTTCCAAAAGTTCGTCTATTATAATCGAGAAGATGCTAGAATAGTACTTTAAGCTCATTCATAATTTAGCGATTATTCTCTTCTTTATGATCATGCTTTAGCATCTCTAGCCATGTATTACTATCAGTTTGGACTCCATCATCTATAACATGTACAACAGGCAATATTAGGAATACGTCATATTCTGACTAGCTCTAAGGACGTAATAATTTTTTCTGAGCTATATTTTTGCATCTTCTATTTAATGATTCTTATAAATCTCTAATGTGTGTCTTAAATAAGATTCAATTTGTTCAGACTTCCCAAAAATAGATTCTAATGGAACAGGATCTTTAGAATGATGTAAGAGTCTCTGACACGCTCTCTTGACAAGACTTTCAAGCAGTCTATCTATAATATATTTATAGTCAAAATGGAACATTTTATTAGATATAATTTTACGCAAAAAAAAGTTTACATAGAAGAAATTTACCCTGGTATAAGATATAACATTAAAAATAAATTTACGTGTCAATATCACGAGAGATCTGCTAGTAATACAACTTTGATCAAATCATGTGTGTGTCTCTAATGCTGATCACTTTTACTGGCTAGCATTAATACAGGATTACGTTTTTCATAGTACAGATAATAAATTTTTTACTAATTCGTTTTGCGATATTCAAAAATAAATATTATGTGATTTTGCATTTTTTCAGGTGATCAATCTCACATGACCGGTCTAAATCACAATCGCAAACTTGAATTTATTGCTTGAAGTATTGCAAGTAAGACAATATTCCGTTTCATTTTATACCATTCGCTATGTAATCCGTAATTCCCATGTTTTCTATTACAAATAGGGCATGATGAGTTTTACAGCTGAAGTGATGTAAAATTATAATTATCAATTTCCTTAAAACTATTTCGAAATTTCAAGTATGGGAAGTGTTCTAAGACTGATTTAATAATTAATTCTGGATCAGGTCTGGCTTTGAAGGTGATAGGTCTTTTTCTGGCTTTGAATTTATAACTTTCGATTCATATACTTCTGTTAGTTATTACAGCTCATTTTCAGTTTCTTTTTTATATCTTTTGTATAATTGGAATAAAACTTATCTGACAAAATACTTGGTAATTCACTTAATTTAGCATGCCAATCCAGATATTCAGTAGTTAGTATTTTATCAGACATAGTCATTTTCCATTTTATATGAATATAAGTTAATTTAATTTGGTAGTAATTAACATGAATTAGCCCTGTAAAAAATAGTTTCTTAAGAAAAATGCAAATATAGTATTATAAATAATGGGACTATGCAGTTATTTCAATTTCACGCTGTTCACATTTAATAAGGTAAGATCTGGCTTTATACTTACCTTTTATTTCTTCTTTATCATGACTTAATTCGCATAATAGACAGATGTAGTCTCTGCATGATGTCTCATCAGTAATCTTATAATAATCGAAATTTTCATTACTACATTCTATATTTAAATTAGGATATTGATCTAATATCTTTATACAGAAATAGGTGCGGTCATAGGTTGGATTAGATTGATTGAAATAAGATATATTTGCCGATGTATTTACTTCAACTGAATCTAAGTATTTCTTTTGCATCTCTAATGTATTAGTTTGATTAGTTTTTGAAGTTTGAGAAGTAGGCAGAATGCTTATCTTAATATCTAATAATTTTTTTGGGACAGACCCTTGGCTTTTTCCAAGTAGGACTTTAGGTCTCACTTTTCTATATCTTTGTATTCAGAGTATGTGTTAGATTTTTTTATCTCTGTATTAGCATAGTAAGATTCACCAAAATGATCCAGAATAATTTGGATTTGAGACTTAGTAAATTTTGAAATAGAATCTGCACTGTAAGATTTGATATTCTTAATTCTATCTACTTCTATCTTTTTGAACAGTTTGTAAATCTTTATGGTCCTTTAGGTTCTTTTACATAAGGTTTTCAGTGTTATTCCAGAAAGATACTTTATTATATCTTAGAATAATTGTTTTCTTGCCATCTGATCTGAAATGTTATCTTTAGCAATAATTTCTTGAATACTTTCTTCGAACCTTTTCCTATATGAGTAGTGATATGAAATCTCTTTTTGTTTAGCCTGCGTAGTGTTTTTCCCTTTAATACTTACATTTAGAAATAAATAAGCAAGCTCAAGTTCTATTGTCATATCAGTTGTAAGCTTCTGATTTCTATCAATAACTTAGACATCATCTTTATCTATCAACTCTGAAGACACTTCTTATATAAAATCTTGGGCTACTATATAATTATGGGAAACTTTTGTATCCTTGAGTAGTACTTGAGCTTCTCCTGCTCTGCAAATATTCAATTTGGTTAATGATTGCGAATTGCTTATATTGGTTTTAATTTTCGCAGAATCTTCTGCTAGGCTTAATGCGATACAGTTAGGCGTTTTCAGTAGGGATATAGAGGAATTATTTTAGGAAATTGAGGGCTTGTCATGATCTTAGCTTGAATGTGTTGATTCATACAAAAGTTTTTTCTTTCTATTGCGTTGCTTCATCATATCATTAACCTCTTTCTTACTTACCGAAATCAGAAATTCATCGATCTGTCTATCCTTTAATAATTTAGATCCTGCATGAGTGGGTTGAGTTACATCAGAACTATTCTCAGAGTTACCCTCAATAGGCAGTGAAATGGATGATTGAGAAGTCACCTGTAATTCTGAATGAGTGGGAGATTTCACCACAGATGTCCTGTCTTGTACTGAAACATTAATAGCAATTTGCTCCTGCTTGATTTTCCTGATATCACAATTTAGTTTTGCAATGAGCTCAGCCTTTTCTTTATTGCTCTGCTCTAGTTTTACAAATCTTGTCTCATTCTCTTCTATAGTTTGCTTTAGCTTAGCATTTTCAGCTTTAACCTTAGCATTTTCGGCTTTAATCTCAAATTCTCAGCTAGGAGTTTGATAACGCGTTGTTTCAATGAATCAAGTTCAGATTGCATATTCGATAACACCTTTCATATAGAATGCGATTTATTTAAAATGCATTTTACCCAAGTGGGACTTTAGGTCTCATTTTTTTATTCACTATATGTCTCCATATCTCATGAAAAATATACTTGACAATGTATAGCATTTTTGGCTTGAATTTTTTATTGATACAGTAAATAAATTACATGATTCGACCATGTACAGTCAACTCTTGATATAGCGAACTCTTAATATAACGAATTTTTTGAACAAATATAATAAAAATACTCTTGTTATAGCGAATTGGCCAATCAAATCTCTTAAAATCTTCACTATAGCCTTATAGCGAAGTTGAGGTCTAGGATATAGAGTTCGTTATAATAAGAGTTGACTGTAGTCCCGCAAATTTGCCAAGAAAAAATACAGATGAATATGTAAAAATAATCAGTTACCAGGATACTTTATTAATATAGAAAAAGTAAAATACAACAATTAGATTATTTTTTTTTCGAATTTTATAGACTTTCTTTTTTTCATTTTTAGTGGTGATGATGATCTTGGTGGAAAAAATACTGTAGAGCTATTTTCTGTATTACTACTTGAACTAGTTAGAAACGTGTAATATAGAAGAGATATATTGACATGCAAGATATTCTATAATTATTCAAAGCGCCTTAACGGCTAAGTATGCGTTAATTTTAAGCAAGTGAAATATAAGAATTGCATTTCACATACCTATATTGTCAATAAAGTTTCAACAAATTTAAACATTGTATTCCCATCTGTTGGCTGTATTAGAATTTCAACTGTACGTAAATTATAGAAATGGTGTATCTCACCTATATCTTGAATGAGAATATTTAGATGCATCTCAGTTTTGGCGATTTGGATCCCAATAATACCAAAATTATCTTAACCTAATACATTCCATCGTTCATCTCTCTCCAAGTTTTTACCCTATCATTTTTCTTTTTTTGTTCATCACAAATGATACGAGAACTTTCACCTTAAATTAATTCATATGACCTATTATTACAACTAGCGATGAACATAACATCTAGTCATTTTTTAACTCTACTTCGATCTTTGCTGGCTATACTTTGACGCTCAGCTGTAAAAATATAACCAGATTTTCCAATTGAAAGATCTTTTAATGATTCTCGAATCATTAGAACTATTACATCAGTCATATATATTCCTTCACTTTGTGACTTAACCAGCTTTGAACTGAAGGCAGGATTTTTTTAAATATCTCTCCTATAAAGAATAATATTAAATGTATTGTCAAAAGTAACTTAGGAAATGACAAATATGATTATTAAGACTTTTATTGCTGAAATATTCACAAGATATCGAGTATTTCTAATGTAACTTTTGCTAGTTTTTCGTTAGATTTTTTCTAACTTTTATTATGTAAAAGTCTATTATTTAGAACATCTGTAATATTGTCTATGAAATTTAAAACGAAGGAATCATAATTATTTTTGACAAGGTCTGAAGCAATTACTTTATACGTTCCGCCAGATCCTATAGAATTATAATATTAATATGATACTCTTTGCCAAAAGTGGACTATAGCAATATAAAATACTATTTACTAAATTACTCACCATAGAAAAGTTATATGCATCTACTTTCAAAGTTTTTACTAAAGCTCCGCATAAGCCGAACTGCTTGCAAGCCAAATGAGCTGGCTCGTTTAGGCTCAGCTCGAGCCACCATAAAATGAGCCACGAGTCAGACAAGTCAGCTTGTACCGTGGCTTGGCTCGTGCTGCAGCTTGGCTCGTTAGCTTGTATTTTCTTCTTTGAAGAAAATAAATCTAAAGGCAGTTTTTCTTCGAAGAAAGCTACTCTGATGGCGTTTACTTAAAGAAAAATGGCTCTGGTGACGTTTTTTTCGAAGAAAATTAATCTAGTGGCATTTTCTTTAAAGAAAAACGAACCTGATGACATTTTTCTTTGAAGAAAAACGCATCTGGAGCATTTTCTTTAAAAGAATTCGCTTCCAGAGTGATTTTCTTGAAGGATTTTGCTTCTGAAGCATTTTCCTTGAAGGATTTCGCTTCTGAAGCATTTTCCTTGAAGGATTTCGCTTCTGGAGCGATTTCTTTAAAAGAATTCACTTCCAGAGCGTTTCTGTAAAAGATTTCACTTCCAGAGCGTTTTTCTTGAAGGGATTCGTCTCTGTGGCTTTTTCCTTTGAAGGAATCGCATCCAGAGGCGTTTTTTTGTTAGAAATTTTGAAGGAAAATGCCTCTGAGGCGATTTGCACTTCTAGAGGCGTTTTTTCCTAAGAAAAGCACTTCTGGAGACGTTTCCCTTTAAGGGAATAGCCTTTGAGGCATTTTTTCCTAAGAAAAACACTTTTGAAGACATTTTTTTCCTAAGAAAAACACTTCTGAAGACGTTTTTTTTCCAAGAAAAGCACTTTTAGAGGCATTTTTTTAAAAGAAAACTACTTCCGAAGGCGTTTCCTTCAAGGGAATAGCCTCTGAGGCATTTTTTCTAAGAAAAACACTTCTGGAGGTGTTTTTTTTCAAAGAAAACCACTTCTGAAAGCGTTTTTCTTGAAGAGAATAGCCTTTGAGACGTTTTTTTCAAAGAAAAACACTTCTAAAAATGTTTTTTTTAAAGGAATTAGTCTCTGTGGCTTATTTTTTAAAGGGAATCACCTCAGTGATTTTTTTTTAAAAGTTTTTTACTTATGTTGAATAGATAAAAATGCTTGTGATTTTAGTATCATTTTGAATAATTATTCTAAAATAATTTATTATTTTTATTTTAAAAAAAAACTATTTCA